TGATTGAACGCGAACGAAATGGTGAGTCAATCAATACGCGTCTGGTTAGTGGTGTAATTAACTGTTATGTTGAGCTTGGCTTAAACGAAGAAGAGCCAACCCTAAAAGGTCAAAGTTTGACAATTTATAAAGAATCTTTTGAAAAGACATTTTTAGAAGAAACTAAATGTTTTTATATTAAAGAGAGTGATCAATTTTTGTCCAATAACACAGTAACAGAGTACATGAAAAAGGCAGAGCAACGTTTACAAGAAGAACAAAAACGAGTGCGGGATTATCTACACGAAACAACTTTGGTTGGTCTTGCAGATACTTGTGAAAGAGTGCTGATTAGGAAACATATGGAAATTTTCCATGCTGAATTTCAAAATTTATTAAATTTTGAAAAGAACGATGATCTCGGTCGAATGTACCAGTTAGTCTCACGTATACAAGATGGTCTTGGCGAATTGAAAAATATACTAGAATGTCATATATTGGCACAGGGTCAAACTGCTATCGAAAAATGTGGTGAAATGGCTTTTAATGACCCAAAAACCTACGTCAGTGTTATCCTAAATGTACATAAAAAATACAATGCACTGGTTGCCGTGTCATTTAATAATGATTCAGGATTTGTTGCCGCTTTGGACAAAGCCTGTGGAGGATTCATTAATAACAACTTAGTCACAAGACAATACAACTCAAGTTCTAAAAGCCCAGAGATGTTGGCCAAATTTTGTGATCTATTGTTGAAAAAATCTAGTAAGAACCCAGAAGAAGCTGAACTCGAAGATACATTAAATCAAGTGAGTACTGATTGTTATTTAATAAGATGTCGTAGGTACTCTCAGGTTTAGTCTTTCTCTTACACATGTATAATATGGTAAATATAGGTATGCATCAGATTCTTACTACAGTTTATTTAATATATTATTAATAGTTCGTAAAGGAGGATACAAACTGTACCCAAGGAAAAATATTTTTTCTAAAAATAATTCTTCAAAAAATTTGATAATATGTAAATTTTCTCTGATATTACCTAAGTATAAATAAACTTTAGTAAGAATCTATTACTAAGATTTACTATTTTACTCATGTCTAAGACAGATACTATACATGCAAATATTGCAAATACCACTTATTATAATTGTTGATTTAATATGTTAAAATTTATCCGTTTGTTAATATAGGTAATGATTATGTTTAAATACATTGAAGATAAAGATGTGTTCCAAAAGTTCTACAGCAAAATGCTTGCCAAACGACTCGTTCAGCACATGTCTGCCAGTGACGATGCTGAAGCGTCGATGATATCTAAACTGAAACAAGCCTGTGGGTTTGAGTACACTTCAAAACTTCAACGCATGTTCCAAGACATTGGTGTGTCCAAAGATCTTAACGAGGCTTTTAGAAAGCACGTATCTAACTCAAACATGCCTCATGATATTGACTTTAGCATACAAGTTTTATCATCGGGTTCATGGCCTTTCCAGTATCTTCTTACATTTTCACTGCCGTCCGAATTGGAACGTTCTGTTCAAAGGTTTACCCAATTCTACAGTGCCCAGCATTCAGGTCGTAAACTCAACTGGCTGTATAATATGTCCAAAGGTGAGTTGGTTACTAACTGTTTCAAAAATCGGTATACGTTACAAGCCTCCACTTTTCAAATGGCCGTTTTATTGCAATTTAACCTACAAGAGTCGTGGACAGTTAACCAACTGTCAGAATCAACACAGCTGAAGACCGACTATTTGATACAGGTTGTGCAGATATTGTTGAAAGCAAAACTCCTGACGTGCAATGAAGATGAGGCGAATGTGGAAGGTAATTCCCATGTAAAACTTTTTCTCGGGTACAAGAACAAGAAGTTGCGCGTAAACATCAATGTCCCAATGAAACAAGAAATAAAATTAGAACAAGAGAGTACACACAAGCATATCGAGGAAGATAGGAAAATGCTGATACAAGCCGCTATTGTGAGAATCATGAAAATGCGCAAAGTCATGAAACACCAACAGCTGACGGCCGAGGTCTTAACACAACTGTCGTCGAGATTTAAGCCCAGAGTCAACGTCATCAAAAAGTGTATAGACATCCTGATCGAAAAAGAGTACCTAGAGAGAACCGAGGGACAGAAAGATTCGTATAGTTACTTGGCTTAAGTGACAACTCGTTTAAAATTTCTATTTACAAATATTTTGTATTATGTTGCATATTTTACTAATATTTTTTATTCTTAAGTGTAAAATAAAACGTTCTTTGAAAGATGATTTGACGTAATTGTTCGATAACCCAATCATAATTATAACGTGATTTACCAATTTATAACATTTCCGCAGAGGTGTCAAATATGTCAAATTATGTCAATATATTAAATTTTGTAAATATTTATGTGTGTGTGTGTGTGTGTATGTGTGCATGCATGTAATTATGTGTATATGTACGTAAGCGTCCATGTACATAAAAATATGGTTTTTCTTTTTTCTATTCTAGATAAACATTAAATTCATACTTAAACAATGAAATTGTGTTTTTGAATTTTTCACTGGTGGTGTGCATATTTCGGCCGGTCATGATTTTTTGAGTATATTGAATAATAGGGTGTGGGGGGGGGGATAATAGGTGAAAGTGTTTGGTTTTTTCTTAACGCCACGCCGCACACGTCCAGTTCCAAATCGTTCGGTGGCTTTCGAATTATAATCGTATTCTAACTCGCAACGTATTATTATATTATAATATATTCGGTGGTCAGAATTGGCACACAGTTGCGCTGTCCCATTTTCCGCAGTATTTAAACGCATCTCGTCGGTATTATTATTATACATACAGGTTCAAGACGAAGTTGGTGCGTCGCTGGCCGCTGCACGCAGTCTGCCCACACGAGACGACGTGAGTGCTGCGTAGTCCTCGCCGGCTTTCCGAAGTGTAATCGGAGAAAAATTACTGTATAATAGCGGCCAAGTAATATGATATTAAAGTAAATTATAACTCGATAAATAAGGATATCAATTTATAATAATATAATCAATAGTGGGTTATTATTTCCGGGTTACGGGTGTGTGGGCATGCGGCAGATACCTATATGTATTTTTTTAAACAGTCGAGGTCGAGCATTCACATCCCGATTATTATTTAAACGAAATACTGCAAACGCATAACCACATCTATAAAAAATTATTTCGAAAATATTACTTTATTCTCGAACTGCTGTAAAAAAAATTGGTGACAGATTTTGCTGGGCAAATTTGTGGGCAATTGCCGACTCGGACCTAAACCATCTTTTTAACTTTATCAAAAACAAGGACCGGGCCGTGATGATTTGATATTTTGATCTAATAATTTCAGAAATGATGTGCTTCATGTGAGCAATGTGAATCGACTGTGCCATTAACCAGTACAATGCAATATAGCTATAGTGCACCCCAGGGGCGAACGCAGGAATAATTTTTTTTTTTTT